TCTTCCCCCCTCGAACCCCCCCCCCCCCTCACCCACACACCCCCACACACACATACACACACACTTCCCCCCCCCCAGCCGGTGGAACTGTACAGGGGGCTATCCGCATTCGCTCACTGGCAGTACTGCCCGGGGCCCCAGTGGCAGGCGGCACTGGTACGACAACTCAGTAACCGAATGCCGGACATGCCGCCCTTTCAGGTAGTGCGCTCGGGGGGGGGGAGAGGGGGGAGAGTAGGTATGGCGGGGCTGTGGGGCCCCGAAGGCGAAACCCGCGGCCACCACTGCCGCGTACCGCCCCCGACCGGCCCTCTTGCTGCTGAGTGTATATGTTGGGTGTTGGAGGTGTGGGAGTAAGGGGGGGAGGTGGCGGCATCGTGCTCAACCATCTCTTGACCATGACCATGTCACTGCTGGGGCCCTTGTCTTCACTCGCACTCTTGCAGCCCCATTGCGCGCCGATCAAACCTGCATGAATCCGTACGTGTGTGAGATCATTCAAGAGGTATGGGCCGTGGGGCCCTCCCCCGCTCCCCCGCTCCCCCCCGCTCCCCCACCCCCCCCGGCGGCACCAGCTGCCCCACCTGGTGCTCTTCCTCGGGGAGGTGGGCTGCGCCCTGCCCCTGCCGCTGATCAACGCCCTGGTGCGGGGGGCGGTGACGGGCCGGCACCCCACCACTGCCGACCTCGCCAAGATTGTGTGCGGCCTGGCGCTCATGGATCGCCAGGTGCGTGCGTGTGGGGGGGAGAGGAGTTGGGCGGAGAGTTGGGAGGTTCGGGGGGTGACGTTGGGCGTTGGCCTCCTCAGTTGGGTACGTGGTATGTACGGATGCAGATCACTGCTGTGACATGTACGGCTGAGTGGGTGGGCGATGATGGGAGGTGGATGGGAGGGTGTTGAGGTGGCGGAGTGATACAGTCATCACTTGTGTGCCCGCTGTGTTGTCCCTCTCTCCGCCCCGCATAGACACTCGGCCCGCAGGTGAGCCCCGCACTGCTGGCCAGATTGTTGACGGAACTGGAGGCCCTCCGGCTGGATCTAGATCCAGGACTGAATCCAAATTTGGATTTAGATCCAGGGCCCGGCAGGACCCCTCCAGGTGTGGGCCCTCCGGCAGCATCGCCAGATGGTCCTACAGCAACAGCAACAGCAGTAGCAGCAGCGACAAAGCCGACCGTACAGAGCCAGGGTCTTGAGGGTAGGGGCAGGGGTATGGGCAAGGCCGTGGCCGGCAGCGGCATGCAGAAAAGCGGCGGCCGGAGCTGGCAGCCCGTACGTAAGGCGGGTGGTGGCAAAGTACACACACACAGTCGCAGCGGCAGTACAGCCCGGCGGGAGGAGGTTGAGGTGCGCAACGACCCGGCCCGAAACGACAGTGGCCCCACCGCCGCCGTAGTCACACCCCAGGCCGCCCGGGTCCCAACTGCACTGTCGGTTCTGAAGCTACCGCTGCTGGTGAGGACGGTGTGGGCCCTGGCGCGGCTACGTTACGCACCGGCCGTCCCGTGGGTCTCTGCCTGCACAACGGCGCTGGCGCCGGCGCTGCCCTCCCTGGAGTTGCAGCACCTAGGGATGCTGTTGGAGGCCTGCATGGAGCTGGTTCCGGAGCGGCGTCCTGATAGGGCGTGGCTGGCGGCCGCGGCACAGCGGCTCCGTGCTTTGGAGGTGGAGGTGGAAGCGGTGGCGGGGATTGCGGTGGCGGGCGGTGCGGTGGATGGGGTGATGGCGGCGTGCGCAGGTGGCGAGGGAGGGTCCGTCGGCGGTGGCAGTGAAGGCGGCGTCGAAGGCGAGGAGGAGTTGTTCGGGGCGCTGAGTCAGGGAGCCCGACAGAGGCTCCGGGCGGTTGCGTGGCTGCGAGAACTACTGGGGTTGCTCGAGCGGGGCGTGTCAGAGGACGGGGTAGAGCGCGAGGAGAAAGAGGGGCGGATGAGGTAGCTGCTGCGATTAGCGAAGAGGCAGCAGTAGTGGTGGCGGTGGCAAGGGTGAAGTATTTGCTCAGCGTCACGCCGATTTACCCTCAACAACGCACTGTACGGTGTCTAAGCGGGTTCGCTCTTTGCCAAAAGCGGTATTGCGTGTCCGCGTTTGGCGGGCCTGCATGGAAAAGGGCGGGTATTACACTTCTGCGCTATAACCCCACATCAAAGTTATTTAAGTCGTAAGGCCTTGTGGCAGCAATCTGTCCTCTTCTTCTCCGGATGGTGGGTCCAGCTATAGTCAGCCCTGGCAACCTTCTGCAGCGTCGCCTCCAGTCGGGCTCTGAGGAGGTGTTCATTCTCTCAGCGCTGCGCAGTCGCACCGCTGCATACAGCGACACCTCACCATCCTTGCGAGTGTTAATAGCTTAGTGTTAATAACATGTCACCTCACTTGATCCGTGACCCAAGTCATGGAACGACGGTATGGGCTGCTATCGGGGGTTTGATAGCAAAGGTGACCTGACACCCTCTGCTGCTGACACCTGGCCGTGGGCTACCAGCTCCCGTGTAATGGGATGAACGAACACCCTAAGTATTAAGTAAAACCACTGCAAGCGCCGTCGCATTGGTGGATAATCTCTCGACGGCATCATACACATCTTCCCGCATGACCTGGGGTCTCATGGAAAGCACTCGAGCTTATTACGCATTTGTTTCGTGTGGAAGAATGAAAGACTGTAAATAATTGCCCCATACCCAGCACGATCCGGTTTACTACAAGATTACCCGGGCCTCCCGGCCAAAGATGGGCTTTTGGTCACGTCAGTGTCGCAGTGCGCCGGCAGGCTAGAACATGAGACATTAATTCCGGCCACCGCCACCACCGCTCCTTAAGTGCAGTACCTGGCTCCGACATCACACCAAACCAGGCCAATGTCCTACAAGACCCGCCCCGTCGCGCCATGTCCGGTGGCAGTGGGAAAAGAGGCCCTAACAACCCAGTGGATACCGCTGCTGCATTTTGTCGTAACATCGGACGTTCCCTCATCACCATTGTCGTGGTCATCGTCCCTGTAAAGTGGAGCATGCTTCAAGAAATTCAAGACTCCTATCGCCATGGAAATGCGAATATACTTACTTTTCTCTGTCTCGTCCCTTTTTGCCGTGCAAGCTGCACCAATGCAATTCCACATCCACCACCATCTTCACGTACGTTGCTGCAACCTCCCCTAATAGAGGGTCGCCGACCTGGGCCTTGCCCTCTGGATCTCGTCAGGGGCACCGCGGCCCCGGTGCTGTCCCTCTTCCCCGTAGCCATCGCCACCATGTCTCCATGTTCAAACAAAAAACCGCGAGTGCCGTTCGCATGCTTCTCCAGTCGCTAGACTGCCAGTCGCTAGACCGGCATTGGCAAGAGATGCCATTCTTTGGCTTCTGCGAGTGAGACCTGTCGGTGCTGCTGATGGCCTCTTGCCGTGGCGCAACCAGCTGCCCCACCTAACCGTCCGCCATAGCCCGGCAGGATCGCCGTCGTTTCAACCACCTAACGCCCCGACACTACCGGCCCCGCTCCACCGCGTTACGATCCATGTGCTACTGCCCGACACACACACCGAGGCAGTTGCTGATCTCTAGGTGCTGAGTAGTGACAACCACAGGTGGTGGCTGAGCGGGGCCCGCGGGGGCCCCATCACAAAGCAGCCCGAATAAGGCCCCACTCCCGCCAACCACGTCTCCAGTCCTCCCAACATCGTGCAAGGCCACCACCGCCCCACGAGGACAGGGTTCCCAAAACACACACTAACACCCCCCTGCCGAAGAGAAATACCTGAGCGTGCGTGACCTGAAGGTAACGATGCACGCCCGCTCCGGCCCGGCTACCCCAAACCCAAAACGTCATGGAGAGAGAGTGCGCTAATTGCCACATGTGGAAAAAACGGTAGACCCGGTGGGATCACGACTCCGGCGGAGCACCGTGTACCCCGCTGCTGTCTGTTTATCTGTCTGTCTGTCTTACACACCACTGCGGTCTTGCCACTTCCTCCCCAAGCACACGGCAAGGGCCCGGCTATCATCTTGACCTTCAACCCCAAAAGAGCCGTTGCGTCGTGTGCGAGGATGGATGCGAAGCATAAGATCAATAAAAGGCTCGATGAGGCTCGAGCGGCCGCCTTCCGCCGGAAGTTGACGGTTGCAGCTGCTGAGGACAGGAGTGCATTGACCGGGTTACGATACCTGCAGCTGCTTCGCCAACACCCCTCCCCCTTTGAGCAGGCACACCGAGCACTGCATGCATGCAGTCCGGTCACCACACAACGAGTCTCTGGGTATACGTAGGTCTGTATGTAGGTGCGGGGCTGCTCACTGACTAGCAGACCCAACACAATCCTTCCGACCCCCAATCCCCCTCACGTCCAGTCATGTTGAATACCTCTCAAGGCGGCGATGCGGATGACATTCTGGACTAATGAGGTCCCGACATGGAGCCGCCGCCGCCGCCACCGCCCTTGCCACTGCTGTCCGGCAGCAGCAGCTCCAAGGGCAGGTCGTACTCGCCCCGCATGGCCCGGGAGTTGATCATGTGCTCCAGGGCGGCGTCCATGCCAGCGCCCACGTAACTGTCGGCATCGTGGGCGCCGGCCGAGCCGCCACCGCCACCGCCGTGACGCATGCCGACAGCGTCACGCAGGTCGCGTGCGCTGCTGCTGCCGCCGCCGCCAACACCACCAACACCGTCGTACAGTCCGCTCTGCTTAATTACCTGCCCAGACGTGGAGGTTTTCAAAGTATAGTTGTTTGGTTGGACACCGGATGCTCCGATGCTCCACATGACTGTGGCACAGGAATCAAGAGGAGGGACCAATACCTCTCCCCCCGACCACCTACACGACGTCCTCAGCAACACGGCCCCGCCTCCCTGGACCACCCTGAGCCATCAATAGTCATGCTCTTCACCGCGACGAGCCACACCACAACGGGAAACGCCGTGCTGTTGTTGTTGTTAAAACCTCGACTCCACCATCTCCCGCACCCCCAACGAAGCGCCACCTAGGCACGGCGAGGCACGGCACGGCACGGCGCGCCCAACCAGACGCACACGGCAACACGATGACACCCCGTTCCAACCTCCATCCCCACACGTTCAATGCGCCGCAGCACGAGCCCCATCAGTCCTCTCTCTCTCTCTCTCTCTCTCTCTCTCTCTCTCTCTCCATATCCACATCCACATCCCGGGGCCCCCACGGCCCCACCTCATGTCCACCTGCTCCCACCTCCCCGCCAACCCCGGGAAGCCCCCCGACGGTCCCTACCCGCGTCGGATGCCGGCCTCCCGCCCCACCTGCAGGTGCAGCGGGCCGCCGATGGCGGGGTGGGCCTGGTAGGGGTGTGCTGAGCCCTCCGAGCCCTGATGGCAGGGCAGCATCAGCAGGCCGCCCTGGCACAAGGCAGAAGGGAAGAGGGGAGAGCACAGGGGGGGGGGCACGCAAACGCGTTGGACAGCCGCGCAGGTACCTTGACTAGACAACCCCATGTCCCCCTTTCGGTATCCTTACCTGCGGTCCCGTTGAGTGAGCTGATAAGAAGGGCGAGGAAGTCATGTCACCATTGCCGCCGTAGTGCAGCTGGCTGCCGCCGGCACCGCCGCTGCCGCCGCCCATGCCCATTCTGACCTGAGCACTGCCGCGCTCTCGAGCCGGCATCAGGAAACTCCCAGCGCTCTGAAAACAAACAGGGACAGATTGGGAAGCGGAGGAGGAGGGGGTAAGGAGAGAAAACACGGAGGACGAGATCAGGGCGACCCGGGGCGGTACGATGTAGTAAGCGAGGAGTCAAAGCGCAGGTGCGCGCGCGCACCGCAACCCCAAATGCGCAATGACAGGACATACAGGGAACGACAGGCCCACGGAAAAAAGCCCCTTGGGCGTAACTTAGCCCTAGGTGCAAAACTGAGGACAATACGCCCTCCACAGCGACGGTACTGCGGTACTCTCCCAACGGCGCCGCCAGCATGGGGATCAAGCCTCGTCATGTGACCACGAATAGGTTTGGGACCGAGGGGACGGAAATCCAAGCGCATGCAGCTACATATACACAAGGTCAGCGCAGGGAACGGCTTCCGGAGAAAGAAAGCGCGGCGCTTCCCAACATCCGCACGAGGTACCTCTCACAAAGGTGACCCTACAACAAGGGCTCCAACACCGCCAACCAACCAGAAAATGTCACGACGCTAGCAGCCAGGCGCAGCGCCGGTCTTTCCGGTCTTTCCCTAGCAGCAAAGATCTCTTACCCGGGCGCCGACCTGGGCCTGGGACATGTTCTGCAGGTGCTCGACCTGCAACCAGCCAGCCGTTACCCACAGGTACAACGTCGGGACGCATAACAAATAGAGCATAATAGAGTGCTGCTTCCAACGAGGTGGGAAAAGCTGCGGGAACCCCAATCTCTGCTGGGCTCTGCTGGGACCAGCACCTAGTTATGTATCGGAGCCGCGTGAACGAGCCCCCCCCTCCCGCAAGACCCCTCCGGCGAGCTGCCACCTGACGTAATCAACAGGACTGATTACGGAAGCGACTGTCAGTACGGCTGTCCGGCTGACCGACTGATAAGACGGGGGAGGGAGGAGGATATGTGGATATCGCTACATAGGGCAGTGGTCGACTTCGTTCGGGAGGGAAGGAGTGGGGGGTGGGTGGACGTGGCCACACACAGCTGAGGATCGCGCACCGGCAGCGTGGGACGGCAACATGACCCTTCCCCCCCCCCCACCCCCACCCCACACACACAGACATATACGCACACACATATACACCGCAACAATTACTGGACTACTCTTGCTGGACTACTAATGTTTTGAAGTTTCGTATGTGACATCCCCGGCCCTTACGTGTCGCGGCACTCAGTTCTATCCAAACATACATACTGCCATAAAGGACCACGAACACCTGGCAGTGGAGATTTCCCCTCCCGCCCGCAAGGTGCCCATAAGGTGCTCCCCCATCAGCCCCATCGCCGGGGACAGCGAGCGCAGAGGGTATGGGAGGGACGGAGGAAGGGGAGGGGAAGGCGCGGCAAGCGAGCAATGGAGAAAAGCCGTATTGTTCTGGAACCTTCCCCTCCCCCGGCGGGGAAACGTCAGCAGCCCCAAAGCAATCTCCCAGGCGGATTGCTACCGCGGGGAGGGGGGGCCCACATGGGACCAGACCACCCCTTGGCCGCGCCCGCCCGAACCCAACCCGCAGCCATAGGGCCCCACTGGCCATAGGGCTCCCCTTCTTGTGCCCTGCGCTTTTCTCTCATCTTGCCCTTCTCATTCGGCTCCGGCCGACGACATGGCGCAGCTCAACCACCCGGCCACCAGTCCCTCCCGCACATACCCGCAAACCCGATATTGCCAAGAATTCCACCAAGGAAAGAGACATCCAGATGGGTAGCGACCGTGGAGAAGTCAAGCTGTGCAGAAACTGGCAGCAGCCCAACCCAGCCCAAATATTTGGACACGCCAATCCACACATCCCATCTTTCCCACACGATGAGAGCGCGCGCGCGTGTGTGTGTGCGTGTGTGTGTGCGTGTTTGCGTACCTGCGCCTGCAGGCTGTTCAGCTGCTGCTGCAGGTCGATGTGCGGGTAGCCGCTGCCGCCGCCGCCGCCGCTACGGCCCAGCGGCGGATGGGACATCGACCGGAGCACGTCGCCGTACCCGCCGCTACCGCCCACCTCCACCATCGCGGGACGCTTTAGCGGCCGACTCGCCCGTGAATGTTCCGAGATGGCGGGCATGGCGGCTAGGGCGGAGCCCTCACCGGCCATGTGGCCGCCGCCGCCGCCGCCGGCTTGTATGCCCGTGCCACCGGCTGCTGGCTGGCTCATGCCGGAGCCCATTCCCAACGCGCCGCTGCCGCCCAGGGGCCCGGGCTCCATCCCGCTGCTAACGTGGGCGCTACTCTGTAGGCCCGAACAGGAGGAGTCATCACATGCAAAGAAGCCAGACATGAATTCAGTTCTGTGAGCTAAGAGCCAAGTGTGCTAAGGATGAGGCAGACCGGGGTAGGGGGGAGGGAGAGAGAAGGCGAGGGGGAGGGAGTGCGCGGGAGGGCGTCTTACTAAAGATGGCGAAGAGTCAGCTGCCGACGGCCAAATCACCAACGAGGTGAGCTTGGGCGTGTGTGTAATGTACGGAAGTGTTTGTGTATGCACAGGGAAGCTGCAATTACCATTCGCAAAATCGACGAAACAGCGTGTGGACAGACACACATTCAGTCGTAATGAAAAAATTCATACATACATACATACCTGCGGCATGCTCATCTGCGGCGGTCCGCCATACGAGGCCACAGGCGCAGCGCCGTACGAGTGGTGCCGCTGCGGCATGCTGTACGACGGCACAATGTCGGCGCTATGTGACCTACCGCCGCCCGGACCCCCCAGGTGCCCGCCCGCCCCCGCCCCCGGGCCGCAAGCGTGGGCCGTCAGGCGCTGCGGGTCATCCAGTGGAATGGAGGTGGGCACGAAGCCACTGATGATACCCTGATGGGGGAGGGACGCCAGCAGGGGTACGAGGAGGCGCGGCCACGTTAGGAAGACGCCCTCGTGGACCGGCGGGGCTGGAAAAGGAGGGAAACCGCGGTGTTGTCACTAAGCGTACTGGGGCGGCTGCCAGTGGCGCGTGCCGAGTCAGCTTGTGGCTGAGGGCCACCTCACATGTTGAGATGTGAGGTCGACACACCGACGAAGGCTACCATACGAAGGGGCCCCTTTATGCTGTCACCGTCTCATGTGCCAGCGGCACTTTACCCCGCAGGCTTTGCCCTGAAGCCCCGAGAGGACATCATCTCGGGGCTTCCAAACCAACGTCCAGGGCCCCTTGCGGACTCCACTTCCCCCCACACCCCCAATTCCGGAATCCAGAAGGCTATGTCGCCGTGTAACGTGTCGGCGTGCCAACATGCCAACAGCGACTGTGACGCATGCGCCCTCTAAGCAACCACATGTCCAAGTACCGGGTCCGTCAAAGCGATCTTCTCCCCTTCCTCCGCCCAACAGGGTCATCCAGGCCAGCCCAAGTCCTCCTGCCCCTCCCTCTTAAGGAGGGACTACCGAAACATGTGACATCTACCACCGCCCTGCCCACACCGGCGCCCGTTCTCACCGTGTCCTGCAGCTCCAGCAGCAGCCGCTCTCGCGCCTGCAGCTCCATACGCAAGCTGTACACCTCGCTGCGCAGCTCCGAGTTCTCGCGCTGCTGCTTCTCCATCTGGGAGCCCCCGTGCATCCCGATACCCAGCGCCGGTCCGCCCAGGCTGCCTCCGGACAGGCCCATAGAGCCGCCCATGGACACCGTGCCCATGCCGGCCATGGGGCCTATGCTGATACCGCCCAGACTGCCCAGGCCCGCGGACGGCAGGGGAATCAAGTTCACGGGCACACTGGCGGCTGCCTCCGGGTCAATAGCGGCCAGCTTGGCCTTCAGCGCCTGTGACCGCGGCGGCAGTGCGGGGAGTTGGATGCAAGGCGGTAACTAGTCATGAGCGCAGGAGAGCAACGGCGAATCACCGTGTGGGGAGAGACGGGACGTGTCAGGTGAAGAACATGCGCCGCCACTCCACATCGGACAATGGGCGTCCCGCACTCCTGAGCGTCTCCCGTCCCCCACCCAACCACCCACCGCAATGGCCCGCTCGCGCTCCTCGCAAAAGCGCCGCACATCGCCCGTCGCAATGCCACGCACGATTTTGGCCAACGTGAGGCGGCTCTTGTCGCCACGCTTGCCCACACCACCCAGCAGCGGTCCCAGCAGCTTGCACTCCTCTGCCAACCGACGCTCATCCTCCTTGGTGGTAAGGCGCCCGCTGAAGCGGCCTTGCAGGTGGGGCCGTCTGCAGCCAAGAAGCGTGCACACGCAGCAAAACTTGCAAAGAGGAGCGCGGCCGTGTGGAAAAGAATGCCGCGGCTTTCTCGCTGCGGCACTCCAGCTGCTTTTGCTGTAACAGCGACAGGCATATGCTGAGGCGTCGAAAGGAGTAATGGTGAACTGGAAGGGACACGAAGGTTCCAAAAGGGGACGAAGAAAGAAGATGTTTTTTCCGGCAAGCGGGAAGACAAAACGATAACGCCGCACGTCATACTTTTGGCCGCAAGGGAAAATACCGGTAAAAGAACCTGTCCTGTTCAGACCTGTCCTGTCAAGCAGTGCGCTGCGGCAACGGAAGACAACGCACACCTTGTACGGGACCTCTTGCCGCTGCCCTGGCTGTTTCCGTCACCGCCGTCGTCCAGGTCTTGTCCATCCCGCTCCTCATTTTCATCAATCACGTTATCCTCCGGGTCGCCGCCGCCGCCGGCGGCGCCCTGTTCCTTCAGCATCATGCTGTTGTCGTACACCTGGGGCGGACAGAGAAACTCCTGTGGCGACGCCTGCGAGTCGCAGCCGCCGCCGTCCCCAAAAGTGTTGCCGACGGAAAGTCCGGCGCCGCAGGTACGAGGTGCTTCGGGGAAGGAAGGCGATAACTGGGCGGGGCCGCCCAGGGTGCTGCGGCTCTCGAAGATGCTACTCACGCCGGGCCCGGGTAGCTGCTGCAGGGCTCCGGCGCCTGAGGCTTGAGCTCCGTCCGGATGACGCTGTGGCGCCCGGGGGTACTGCTGCTGCTGGTGGTAGTGGTGCTGGCTGTGCAGATGTGAGGCGTGTTGGTGAGATGGGGCGTATGGATGCTGGATGCTGGGGCCGGAACCAAGAGTGATGTGGGTCAGACTTTGATCACAGGCCGAGTATTCCTGGTGTGGCCGCGCACCGATCAAGTCACCGTGCGTTTGGGACATGGAGTTGTTGCTGTGAGCACTGCAGTTGCCGAGAAGCGGCAGTGACAGCCAGGTGGCCGGAGGGCGATGCAAACACGGTCAGAATTGTCAATCCAGCTTTGCGACAAATTACTGTGCGGGGCAAACAACCCGCGCTTAGCTGAAGCAATCCTAAGCGCGGAAAGTACAGCAGACTATGACATCCATGACGTTTGCCACTATTGTGATTACGACGCGTTAGTCAAAGCCTTGCTTTGCGTCACAGTATACGACCGTGCTGCGCTTAAAGCTACCAGGTTGCTCCAGGAGGATGAGTCTGACATACAGGTTCCAAGCACGCGAGCGGTACATAAATGCTTCAAGGACGGAATAGTAGATACAGACCGTTCAACAGAGTGCTTAAAGGACCTTTCAGCTCGGGTTTTGCATGCCAGTATTTGTCGACATACCTGCTCCTCCGTCACAAAGCGGGCTGGGCCGCTTGTATTGCTGCAAATAAAACTAAGTCCTAAATACAACATGAACAACCAGCTTCCTAGTATTCTTGCAATACCACGCCGGGGGGGTTCAAACGACGGCCAATAATGATTCCTTGCACGTATAAAATTCCTAATATAATGCGCGGTGGGAGGTTAGATACTCGCGTGAGTACTGTTAGCGAGCTCTCATTACTTGAGGTGCATTACACTTTACGACATACCCAGTACAAGCTTACTTTTCCGAGCTGAAAGCTATGTGAGACGTATGCGCGGATATAATGACACTCGGGTCTTGGGTCATTTGAAATGTGGAATAGCGCCCCTTGCCACCAGACGGACAATACTGAGTGTATTGCACTTTTGAGTCTTAACTTGCCCTGGAAGCCTTCCAGCGGGCAGTAAGTCGTGGGGAAGATGCGCGTAACCTATCCCTCCCTTAGGATGCCTTGCACGAAGTAAAGATGAAAACTCTGGGTACTAATATGACTCGACCAGACATCATCATTAATGTAACTTGTCGTCCTGCGGTTGTGCTCATTTTGGCATGCAGCTTTTCCCTCCTAAAATAATGAATTACAGCCCCCCCGGCTCGGGTGGCACTAATCCGTACGTCACAGCATCACCGCAAATGTCTGACGTATTGCAATTACCGCGTTCACGACTTCAGCCAGAGCCCACAAACTTACAAGTTTAGAAGCAACGCCGAGTACATCTGACGTCTTAGAACGGGGACAAAACGCAAGAGTAGCCAAATACGGCAGGCAACGCCAGAAACCCCGCGTCACCTTAGCTGGAGGGACCAACGCCGAGACTGCGTGAATCCAAAGATATTCCTTCCAGGCTGCAGTAGAAAGGGAGAAATAGGGCAGCCTGGTCCTGAACGACCAAAAAAGAAGAAGGGATCACCACCCAACCCATTACTAACCCACCCGGCTAAGCATGGGCATGCGCAGCTTGGCACATCCCAGCAATCTTGCACGGGCTGGGATGGCACACCACTGGCACCATCGCGGTGTAGACCCCACACCATCCGCCAAGCAATCGCGCCCAGTACTCGTCCAGCGCCCAACTGACTACACATGCAGCTGGTACGGCCCGCACTGCGGACGAGACTAGCGAAATGACAACCTGCTTACGCGCACCCGGCTGCGCACATGCCTGCAGCCTGCCTACCCACAGTCAGTCCTAGCCACGCAGCAGCCAGCGAGAAACCAAGCCGCCACCTTCACTAGCACTCAACCCTGCTAGCGACAAAGGCCGACACCCGTATAACTTCGAGACATCCCTGACTGAACGCGCTCACCAAGAGGCGTGACTGCTTTAACCCTAATTGCGCACAAGGACTCAACAAAAGCAAACGCGTTTGCTCATACCAAGGCCCATTTTGAGGCGGAGTTGGGAAGGAAACAGATCTTTTGCCTAGCTACCCTGTGGCCCTATAATCTACAAGGACATGCACCTGCCGCACGCTTCCAAAAGCTCCCTGTCAATTCCTTTCGTGACTAAAAACGCGCACAACAACGGATAAAAAGCCCTAGCAATGTGGCCAAAGAGAGACCCGCGCAGCTCCAGCTGCACTGATCAGGACGGCCAAGTCACCCACCAAGTTGCTTGCCAGGACTAATGAAGCTGCCGCGCTGGCGCTTGACCCGAACTGATCGTAGCAGCCCCCACCTGCCGCGCCCAGTGCACACTTCTAAACTTATCGCCGCGGAGAGGGCGGCGGTAACACATGGTGTCCCAAACTGGGTGTCGGCGCAAGACCAGGGTGCCGGGGCGTGGGCGGCGGCAGGTTGGGGTGCAGCGGTGTCGGCGGTGGCAGGTTCATGGCATGAAGGTCCTGTAACGTCATGGACGGCGTCGGTGCTGCTGAAGGGGTCGGCGGCGGCGGCATCATCATTGCCGCCGCCGCTGCCGCCGACCCGGGGTGCTGGACTGGCTGCGGAATTTGCTGCTGCTGATGGTGTTGGGGCTGCTGCTGCTGCTGTTCCATATGCTCCGCCGATCCATCTGGCTGCCCGGCCTGCCGGGCAGGTGGTAGTGCACGCGGCGGCGGCATTAGATTCGCAGCCGGCAGCGCCGGCAAGGCTGCGTCTCCTTTCTTGTACTGAATCAGTGTGGGGTAGATATTCATGTAGGCCTGGTAGATCTCGTAGCGCGTCTTAGCGCCTATCAAAGCGGGCAGGTGGCACGGCACATGACATTGATGCAAGCGAAAGCATCGGCAATGCCTCTTGCCGTTGCAATCAGAAAGCAAACCCATCATTCAATAAAAGACACCTCACAAGGATGCACCCGACGGAACTCTGTGCTGTAACACATGCACGAAGGTGCCTCCGCATACGCGGGTTCCTAAGCCACTGGGATCCGCGGGTAACGTCCTGATCAGCGCCAGTTGCAGTGGCACGACCTCCACGCCGCGCCCCGTGCACACCACATAAGTTTATGAATCTACGGGTTGCCGGAACCGCTACCGTTCACCGACTTGCATGTGCAGTCGGTCCTGCAGACCCAGCGCTCGCACCCGGCCTAGGACCTCATCTGCCCTGGAGCACTAACAGGCGCTACTCTATTGTACATATACACATAAATATATATCCACGTGTGGAACAGTATATCGCCCGGGCTTACCCGTCAGGACCACCTTGCCCGACACAAAGATGAGCAGCACGATCTTGGGCTGCTTCATCCGATAGATAAGCCCCGGAAAGAGCTCCGGCTCGTACTGCGGCCCCAGCATCGCGAGGCAAGCAGGACGGCGGCAGGTGACTCCATAACCCCGACTAGGAACCATCCTAGACACGCAGGAGGATAGCGGATGCGAGGTACCCCATCTGCGTGTCGCCCACTAGCGTGCGAAAAAACACAACCTACGTGTGTCCGCGTCCGCCCGCAGGACCAACAGCACAGGCGGCGACCTGGAACCTTATCCCGCCATTACTCACGCTTGCGAAAAGGCTGTGCGCATACGCAAGGCCTTCCAAGCGAATAGGGAACTTGACGTCACACGACCCCACAATATTTTGGATTTTGAACTCCTTGAACGTGGCCGGGAAGCCCAGCTTTTGCACGATCTTGGCGTACTGCAAAGCGGAAGACGAACAGACTGCATGTTTAAAATATTGTCTGACATCCATTTTGCCTGTCGTCAGGAGAATTCTTCTCGCAGGATTTTGGTTGCACTGTGCACCTTCATATCCTTCGGCAGGATAGACAAGCGAAACAGGTTCAACAGACTTCTGACATCCTCAGGTATCCCAACAGCATCAGCTCCGAGCGAGCTTATGCGGCAAGGGCCCATGATGTCCTGGAGCTGGACTGGCGAGCACAGCACTGGATCTAGAGGAGCAATCGTGAGATATAAATCGCGCCTTGCGACCCACGGGACAACAATGTAATGAGAGCGGACCACTGGACAGACTGACGTCATTCACTAAAGACGAGCACAATACACCCTTCGTGTGAAAGGGACGACTTCATAACGTGACACTTTGCACGAAGCTTTTTAACCGGGGTACACCCAGGCGTTAACGCTGGGCTCCAAAAGAATACTCACACGTCTGGCCGCTGTCCTCGAGTCGTCCTCGCTCTTCGCTCCAGTACAGACCTGCCAGGTGACGGGCATACTTGTACAGCGGACCGTGTTCAGACCCAGCCATGCGGGAATCATGGGTTACGTCCATGGCGTGGGACTGTCCATGAATCTCGTGAGACTTACCATCTTCCCGGACGCAAAAATTAGTGCGGTCGTCTTTGGCTCTCTAATACGCATAATGACGGCGGCGAAACGCTGCAAAGCAACCACACATAGGTGAATTTGCAACGTTCGAGACCCCCCGCTGCTGCCCCTCACACCACTACAAGGCTACTCGAAGCCTACCTTGGGATTATACTCAGCGTTGCGCGCGTGCATAGCAATCTCCTTCAAGTCTAGCTTTGTGCCCAGATTCACAGTAGCCACTACGTTCTGCAGCTGTGGTGTAATACCAGATACATGTGCGGCCATCTCAGCTTCAACATTTGCAGCTGTCAATGGTGGCGTTGCAACAGGAGGTGCTGGGTCGGTGCTAGTTGACGCCATTTTGTCACGGAGGCCTAAAGATGAACTGCAAGAAACACTTTATGCAATGGGCCAGACCAGTTCAACGTTTAAGATGTTGTTGAAGAAGGCTGGCCTGGCCCAGAGAAGGCTGCGGGGTTGCTCAGTAGGCGGAAAAGCAGCTCACAAAACAGGCCTACTGCTGGGCTTCAATTTGGCTGTAAAACGACAACCTGGATTCGGAGATACAGGCAATCCACACTTGATGGAGGAGTACAGTCGGCGCCAGATGTGGCTCTCAGCGCAAGTCACCGCTTGCGAAAAGAAAACGAACAATTCCAAGATACCTTAATTGCCTTATCAAAACACTTAGACTCTTCTCAATTTACGGGTTCTGCATCGGGTTAACCATGCCGTATTTGACGCTGCCGTAACAGGATGGCTTCGCTCAGGTTGATGCTAATTGTCTAATACTAGTTTATTTTGCTCAATTTAAGTAATTATTGTGGCTATACCGCAGATCAGCTACCTTCAACAAATTGCGGATTGTCGATTGCTTTCCGGCTGTGGGTTGTTTGTAAGTCGTTTGGGTTATCCTCACGAGGACTTACATCGTTGACTTCAAATAGTGCACCTCTAGACTCTGTGGCTGTCCTTCTGCCCAACAGCCTAGACCCCTGGGCACATGGCCTCGCGCAAGCGTGGACTTAAGTTCTGCCCAGAAACTAACGACTTGCTATACCCTCGCGAAGACAAGGAAAGGCGGGTTCTGGAGTATTATTGCAAGACGTGCAACTACTGTGTGCAAGCGGACCCGTCAGAGTGGTGTGTGTACGTGCACGCCACGGTTGTTGACGAGAAGGACAAGATTACGACCCTTTACGACGTCACAGCGGACCCCACGCTTCCCCGCACCCGCGACGTCCGCTGCCCACGATGTAACCACAACGAGGCCGTCTTCGTTTCGGAGCCTACGGAACAGGGCATGACGCTGTACTTCCACTGTATAGCTTGTAAGGAAAAGTGGCGGGATTACGTGTGAGGGGGGCCCGGGGGCCTGGAAGCGTGGCCTTGGGAAAGCGGCCTCATGGAGGCCTTGTGTTCAGCTGGAGCTGATCCCGTGGCTCGTGCCGCCGCGGACTTTGACCTTGTACGGATTTTGTACGGATTTTGACCTTGTACCAAACGCCATGCTTGGTCGGCGTTTTGAGGGGGATCGTGTAGCGCCGTGCCTGCGATGGAGTGGAGATGTGTACTCATAACTTGACAGTCATGGCGTGTGACAAGTCTCTTGGAGTGTGAGTGAGTGGCGATAGGGCTGTCTTGTTGGGTGCTGACACAGACCGCTTGGCCTATGACCACCAGACGTAACTGAGTGCCTTCTGGAGGTGGCAGCATGCGCAGGCGAACAACGATGATGTCCATGACTAAGTCGTTTGTAACAGCTAGTAACGCCATAATGGATTTACCCGCTCCCTTTGTTTTATGCTCCTGCTTCGTTTCCAAAATCCCCCAACGCCGCCGCTTCCACACGCCATCGCAGTACAACTGCGTCTGTGGGGATGGCCGTCTCGGCCTGGTCCCCTGTGCAGCATAGTCCATAGAGCGGTGCCCTGGCGTCCTTCTACCCCAGGGTGGGGGTCATAGCCCAAGCTGCAGCCGTTGCCGCTGCATCGCCCCTGGTCAGACGCGAATCACTCGTAGGCCACGCCTCATATGCACCACAAACCCTGCTGCTGCATCCCACTACGCTATTAGCACGTTATCTGTTGTCCCGCGCACCCGGTCCGTGGACCCATTGGCGCCCTGCTGTAACACAGCAAAGGCGTAATCCGGGATGCTCAGATTGGCCTTGCGTCGTTACACCTGCTCTGCTCTGAATAGATCAGTCTGTCCAAGGCAATCCGGTGGGCACCGTCCTTTGCTGTGAACGCAAGTGGGTAGACCAGCTTTAGGCCAAAGCCAGTTAAAGACAAGCCATCAGTGAGCACCACATGCAGGAGCTATGTATTGTGTCACCAGCGGGTGCGCCCGGGTGTTTAATGCACGGCCACCCGCCAGGGTTGGCCAATTGCAGGTTGCGATTGTTGTAGTGGACCCGGTCGGGTCGAGCGCAGCGCTCCGAGGAGCACCTCCCGCACAACACTGTGGGCCTTATTCAAACAGAGCTCGGTCAGGCCGCATTAACTTCGCTGTACACAAAACCTCGCTTAGTACGCTCCGACATACAAGATCGGGCTCAGAAGTGAGGCCTCAGGAATCCTCATCATTGAACGGTAACTGACAAACGAGCTTGTTCGCATTGTTAATTGAGAGGAAAGGGTGGTCACCGGGCACCTGTTCCCACCCTTTCGGCAGGCGGTCCCGGGCTGCAAAAGCAGGTAGACGGGCGGGCCCAAAACTCAGAAATGACACCACGCAAGCAATGCAGTTTGGGCCGGGTGTAGACAGTGCCGTAGCACCTCCTTCAAGGCCCTCCCAGTAAAAAAGCAAACGGCGACCAAGATTGAGCGAACTAATTGCCGCAATGCAAACAACCTCTCACACACACCTTTGAACAGCGGGCGGTGGATTGCCCGACCACAATTGGTACGTGTGCAGGCAGTGTTTTTATAACGTTCTCACCGTGGTAAGCTTTTAGTGACCAAGTGGTTACTGTGGGGGGTTTTCGTGGTAACCACCTTACAAAAATAAAATTAAAAAATTAAAAAAACAGCGAGTCTGCTGAACAGGAGCCCATAAGAACCATGCATCCGAAGACCCAACTTTGACTCTATGTACGGCAACGTGTTCCTGAGCCGAGCTCAGTGAAGTATCACTGCTCCCATCGTCAAAACTTTATTTAGGTGGTCACTACCGGGGGTGTGTGGCCCAATTTCTGGCGACCACCTGGTTACTGGCAGGTGACTCTAAGAAACATATTTCCTAGTGACAGACCACCTTCTGGAAGGGAATTATTTTCTCAGTAACCACTTGGTCACCACCTAGTAACCACTTTTAAAAACACTGTGTGCAGGCAGGCCGAGTTCGCGGTCCGTAAACTGATTGCCGCGTCTACTCATATCAACGGCCATGGCCCTTTCTCCTCGGAAACACGACATTAAGAGATTAGGTGAGGTAGGTCAGCGCGGCTCTGGGGCCCCCCAGCAACAGGATAAACGCTGATAAGAAAAACCCTTGCCGTTGCGGTTTTCCGTACAGGTTGTACGAATGCGGCCAAGGGCAATTAAGTAAAGCAGCTTTGCACACGTTTCCAGGCAGCGTCCTCACGCACATTGCCGGAAAGTGGCAACTTTTCCTAATTAAATCAAACGTGTGTCACAGCACATTGTTAGTTCATCGCGCGACACCTTCTTGGTCCATGATGCCATCTGGTGCTTCCTGCTGCACTTCAAACAGCTGCACCAGTACGCCTCATTCGCCAACCAGCTCCGGACAAAAAAAGGTCTTCTCCTTCGTGGCCATCTTTCTGTCCACGCCCGACAACTTCTGCGCTTTCTTTCCTGACCTACCAGGCTGCGCGGTGACTGGCCTTTCTCTTCCACAGGCGGAATCCAGGCTAAGGGAGGCATTGAATCGGCATCTCCGATCCCTGCTGGAGAATGGCAAAGAGATTCCCGAGGGCCAGACGGTCCGTTTCAAGAGCGAAACCGAGTACACCGTCAAGGTGATTTTGGCTGCCGTGGACGTCGAGTGGAACCGGAAGCTTAAACCTCAACACCAGAAACAGGGAGATGCTCGTTGCCTTAAACATCATGAATGGCCGACGCCCCGGCAGGCGGACAGTCGTCGCGATATAGCGATTTAGGAAAAAGAACGAGGGGTTTTGGTCGGTTTTGGGGTTTAGGATGGCTTTGTGAGCTTTTATAGCTGCTCTCGGGCGAGATTTGCAAGCATATCATAAGTTTGATTTTTGGGCGGAAGATAGAATTGGAGGGAAGAAATCGGGAAGTTGGGACCGCCGGTTGGCGGCTGTGCGCCCAGGGCTGCCGGATGGCTATGTGGGGTGCATGTTACCACCCACTGTCTAGGAGCTGGGGCGGGGGTGGTGGTGCTTGTTGCGGAATGGAGAGGAGTTTTTAGCGGCGAAGGGGACGTGGCTGTGTGATGTGGTGCTTCGACGGTGTGGAGCTGACGTTGGTGAATTTTGGACATGGCTGCATGCGCGGGCAATTGGACGTTTTTCCAAAGGAGTCAAAACCTTGAGACCAATTTTATTCCATTTATCAACTAGTACCAGCATTACAAGTATTTTTTCCTGTCTTTCAACTCAGCTTCTAAATGGGCTATGGCTGTCTACTATCAAATCGCGAGCCATGCCCTGAGCAAATTACAATTATGTAACAATTGATATGATTCATGATACATGTTTCAGGTTTCAAGATAATTTCTATTCGCATCCTGCGTATGTATTGAATTACACCAGCTCGGGCCCAAAGACAACTGACGAGAATTGTGCGAAATACAGGTACTATGGCTAAGATCCATGACAGCAGCCTCATATCTAACAGCTATTATGGTATGGAGCTGTGCCGGCTCCGACCCCCCTCCCCATCTCACCATGCGCCCGGCAGTCCCCGAGACCTAAGCAGCCGTAACACAGTACCGCAGCTTTAGCACAATCAATCAGCACGCCACCAACAATCCACCAATTCCATTCCTTCCTAATCCAGTTCCCTTTGCAAAAGCCTCGACGTGGCCCAAGCATCCCATCTTGATGCACCCTGCAGGCAGGTTACTACCCTCTTGACCGGCAGCCAAGGCGTAAAGCCGCCGATCACGGCGCAAGCTTGTCGACGAGATGGACACCGGGCGGTTGACCTCGGGGGCCTCCACCCCTGAACCTCGGAATGGCGGTGCTCCCCAGGGGTCAGGAGCCCGGGCGGCTACCTGCTCGCTTTCCCCTGGAGCAGGAGCAGCCCCGGAAACGGACCTACGTGAGGTGCTGGTGTCCTTACCGACGGATGGTAGGCCCCGGGAACTGACGGGGGTAGGTGATGCAGCATCCCGCGCGGCGGTGACGGCTGCTGCGGCGGCAGCGGAGCCGCCGCCGCAGCTACCAACTGGCGCCCTGGTGACTGCCGTACGCGCGGCCAGCGCTCGGCTGGTTTCTGCAGGATCCGCCGACGACGCGCGCGGACTAGGGCTCGGTGCGGCGAACAGTGCCGGGCTGGACGAGCCGCTACCGCCAGTGGACGAGCGGGCGGCCCTTCTGGGCGCCTGGCAGCGCTCGGACGAAATTGGCGGCAAGGTCCTTGGCGCGTACGGCAGGCCCGGCGTGACACGTCGTACGGCGGCAGCGGTGACGGCAACAAGCGGGCTTTCGGGATCCATGGAGACTTCTTCCGTCGGGGTGCCGTTGACGGCGACGGCAGCAGCGGCTGCTAGACCTGGGCGGTTCGGTCAGTCCTGGTCTCCGTTTGAGCTGTCTGCGCCGATAGCGGCGAGCCTGACCGCGGCAGGCGGCGCAGCGTCGGGGCCCCCGTCGGGCATGGCAGGGACAGGTGGGGCGACGGCAACGGCAAGCCCCGCCCGCGGCGGTTCTCGAGCGCAGGTACGGGCATCGGCAACAGCATCCGCAATGCCCATCCCCGCCGGACAGACCTGCTGTTAAGCCCCGCAAGCATCACCCGTTAGGTTGCGTGGCGACAAAAAGTTTCCCACACACCGACACGAGCTAGCAGCGCCAACGTCCTCACGCCGCGGCACATACACCTCTTTCCCCCGCCTGCTACCTCAAAACACTTGCCGCCGCTACCCCATCCCGTCTTCGGTATTTGCTCCATTCGCCAGTGGTTCGTCTTACCCGCTCCCCCGTCTCCTACACCTTAGAGACTTCGGCAGTTTTGGCGCTTGTGGACACCGTCAGGTGATCATTCGTTGCTTCGGCTGTGCATGGAAACTTAAATCTCCCTCCTACATACCTCCCCCACCCTGCTGTAGATCAGCAGATGACGCGTTGCGGCCGCTTATTGCACATTTACATATGTATCTCCCCACCCGTCCTGCAGGTGGAGCGCGCCGCCTCCACGTTGCTCAGCGCCGCCACCGCCGCAGGGGACCTGCACACCGCAGTGCCCGCACCCGCCACCGGACCGGGCAGCGCAGCAGTAGCAGCAGTAGCAGTAGCAGGTGGCGGAACCAGCGGATTCCGCCTGGGCGGCGGCAGCAGCGGCGGCGGCTCCATTGCCGCTGCCGGTGGCGGCGGCGGCGGCGGCTCCCTTCCCCCCAACGGCTCCCTTCTGGACGACACTGTAAGCCCAGAGGCAGAGGATCCCGTAGCAAGAGACCCTGACCGTACCCGGTCTCCTGTTCCCCGTTGGAGGCACTCGCGCGCTCATGTCCCCCCCACCCCCTTTACAATCACCCCCACCGGCACCCGCCACGCTCCCCCTGCCGCCCCCGGCACACCCCTTCCCCTGCCCCCTCCCAAACCCTCCCGCCGGCAACCCCCTTGCTGCGGACCCCTCAGGCCCAGTTCCGTGAGTACATGCGCGAGGAGCAGCTACGTCACGCAGCTGAGGCTCGCATGTCCCTGTCGCGCATCTTGGGGTGGTCGCGGGTGGTGGTCAAGAGGGGGGTGCTGCTGGGGGTGACGGTGGGCTTCCTGGGAGCAGCCATATACCTGTCCAGGAGCCCCCAGGCTGCCGTACAGCAGCGGGACGGGTTGCCGCTGTGGCGTTGGTACCTCATCCTGGGCTGCCTGCCTAGCGTGTGGTGAGAGCATGTGGAGGGGTGCGGAGGTGTTTCGGTTCGTTGTGTGTATAGCTGTATGTATGTAGGCGTAGGGATGTCCGTGGCGTAGGGAAGGGATACCGATAAAGGGGAGGTTCTCTCTGTGTGTATGTGTGTGGGGGGGTCGGGGGGGATGTCGGGGCTGGGCCCGAGCTTGCCACCCTTGCGACCTACCGGGACATCAATACACACTTCCGTACCCACACATCCTAGCAACATCATGGATCCTTCGGGCGACTCATCCAGCCGGCCGATCTCTTTTCCGGCGCTCACGCGCACATCGGTCGGTCTTGTACGGCAGGTACGTCCCCTGGTACGCCATCTTCCTGTTGGTGCTACTTCTGGAGAGCCTGCTGCCCGTGGCGTTGTACGGCGGCAGTGGCAGTAGCAGTGGCAGCATCAGCTACAGCCGCACAGCGCTGGCGGCGCAGGTGGCACAAGGCGGTGGCGGTGGCGGGGAGGACTCCGGTGGCGGCGGGATGGCGGGGCCGGCACTGGTCATCTACCATATCCTGGGTGTACGGCGGCATATGGTACGACATTCTGGGGCCCGGGCCTGTCCGGGGAGAGTAGAGACCAGCCAGCCGTGTCACAGCCGCGTTCGGATCTCAAACCCGCCCCCCTCCCCTTCCCACCTCAACCAATTGATGCCTAGGACGTCTCCGGTCGTCGCCCCCCTCGGCATTTTGCTGCACCATTTACCTCGCCGCTATCCCGCCGCTATCCCGCCCCCCGGGCCCCCCCCCGGTCAGGTCCGTGTTCTCCGCTCCCTCAGCGGCCAGCTGCTGATCCACTTCGCAGTGGGGGACCTGCTCACTCGGGAGCAGCACTCCAGGGAGGGCATGATCATGAAGGTCAGCTGGCTGAGGGAAGAGGGGGGGGGTAGGGGGGGTGTATGGGGGGTATGGGAGTACGAAACCCCATGCGCGATACACACATTTATCACACACAGCCCCCCCGCCCCATTCAAGCCGTTGATCTCAACACGTGTTGCTGAGGACGCTGCCGTTAATGTGTGAGGAATTATTCACCTTTATCTCGCCATATATACACGTATGCAGACAGACAGACAGACAGACAGACACCCACGCCGGTGCCTCCGCGCCTCTGTCTCCTCCAACCCCTTGTGCGGCTT